GCCTTTTTGATACATCAAATACTAGAGCTTTAGAGGGAATCAGTGTAATTAGCATTTTATTAACATTACTAGTGGATGGTTCTCCATAAGTTTACCCTTTCTGCCAATTTATTCTCAGAAAGGAATTCACCTTTTGAATTTTTTTTGTTTACACTGCTTCTGTCACCTGTATGTGGGATTCAAGCTATCTGTTCATTGGAGAGGTATGTAGCCTTCGTGAAATTAGCATTTTTCTCACCTGAAAATTTATCTTGGATAGATATACAGCTATTCACAAAATCATTCACTCTTCCTCCTCACTATTGGTGTGTATTTTTCTTGGTGTCAGGAATGAGCTCTTGATATACAGAAAGTACTCAAGGAGAGTACCATGCATGAATAGTGTATGGAGGGCTATAGTCTAAAGCTGATTGAATCATAGATTGGAACTGAACCCCTTTTTATATGTAGGAGTGGGAGTTTTGTTCAAAGGCTTGAAACATTCACACAAACTTCTTGGTTGTGGTACCATATTATTTGTATGTTATGTGGAGAGATAACTGCCTATCTGAGATACATTTTCAAGTAAGGAAAATGTTAATACTACAGCTCATTTATCCCATAGACTATTCTATCTGAGAATTTTTGTAGCAGGTTTGTCTCTAAGATCTAGTATTCAGTCATAACTTAAATGACAGCATCTGTTCCAGGGAAGAAAGAACCATAGGTAAGGTGGAAATATCTATATTTTCAGGCTTCCATTACCCATTACAATGTCTTCCAAGGTTCCAACCATTGTTTTCTCTGAATATGGAACTCAACTTCGCTTTTATCAGTAAACCAAGCCCCACCCAGTCCTGTAGGAGTTGAGCTGCTACTACACTCTCAAGTAAAACCTGATTACTGTGTCCTCAAGATCAGTAGTTAAATCTGAATTGGGCTCCTTTAGTTAAATGATGCCAAAACTGTGGAACCTATAGCTTGCCTATGACCCTTCTGTAGCTTTTTTGAGGTTGGTCAGAATGGAACATTATTCTTATCTTGTCTGAGCACAACATATGGACAATTTTTCTTAAAATGCCTCACCTTTCCATGACCAAAACATCTATCTCTCTGTCAAGAACCCTATTTTGGGAAAGGTAACTCCTATAATTGAATCATCACGGAGGAAGTAATTGTTACTCCTAGCTAGTATCTAGTGTGGTTGAGTCAAAACACCAGATGGTGCTTTTGGGAGGGGAGCTTTGGGTTGAGCTCATGCTTTTTTCTAGAGACTCTGACCAATTCCTATTCTTGAGGAATCATTCCAATTTGTAACCTTAGATTATGCCTTAACATGATCCAGGTTTGATACAAGGGTGAAATGAAGGAATGACACCATCGAGATTGTAATCATTTAAGTATTTATACTTAGGCATCTGTACTCAAACACTGGTAACACTGAATAAAAATATTGGCCAATCAGAAATCATATTTAGAGTTACCCCTAAAGAAGTTGGGACAGTCATATTACTTTCATTGAAAGATATCAAAATGAAAACCACCCCAGCCAAGAATGTCTATCAAAATAAGTACAAGAGAAAGAGTTCAACATTAGGATACCGTCTTCACAACAAAGAAGTTTAAGTAATTTAGACAAAACTAATAACAGATCAGTTTACTACATAAGTGATACACATAAACAAAAATAAAATTGAAAATAAGTAAAATAACCACAACAATTTCAATAAAAATGCCCTGATGTGGAACTTTGGCATATTGGGACACACTGTAATACTAAAATTCCACAAAAATCTGGAACAACTACAAAAAAATCGAACAAATGTCAAAAAAGTTTACTAACTAAACAATACCCATAAATTAATTCATGGGTGAACATAACAAAAAACACATCAGCCAAAACAATTACAAATGGTTTCCTAATGCTAAACTTTTGTCAAATATGGAAGTTGCAAAAATTTAAGTCTCAATGTAGTGCCAACTGGCTTTGCCTTGAATTCTCCCAAAGAGCAGAAAACCAAGCATTTTGTTAGTGTACTCTGCAGACTTAGGTATCATTCATGGTGGGAAATGGACCACATATTAAATAATGCCTATTTTTCTTCTCAACTAAAAATTTTCTTATGGCTGGGTTTCGTATTTTACATAAATTGGGGCTAACATGTGTTTTTGATATGCTGAGATCTTGAAAGTTGTTATGACTGAGCTGGTGTCACTACAGCTACTACTTCAAACTTCCTTTTCTCATGCAACTGGCTTGATATAACTAAGTAAAACTAATTTGCCAAAGAAATGACCTCTATTAATGTAACTATTTTTAGATTTCTTATGATACCATACAGTATCACTTGGTGTACCACCTGTGACCTTATGAAAGAGATTATATTTGTCCTCTGCAGTTTCCATAGCAAGATATGACTGTCTATCAAATGGTCAAGTTCTGTTAGAGTTTTTGCTCTCCAGCATTGAACTTGACCTTCCATGTAGCTTCTCTCTCTCTCTCTCTACTGCTTTGCAGTATTGGTGTAACTAACCTAAAGTTGCCTCCCAATAGCCATTGCACTGATTATTTCTGTGGCCATCCCTGAGCATTAACATCAATGGTAGAGTTATCTACTTCCTTCCTAAGCCATTGATCTGCATAAATGAATAAAGGTAACTTTCAGTGTTTTTGCAGATGCACAGCTGAGACACCCATTACACCACAAATCCTGGCTTTTGCTGGTGTAAGAAGGCTCTAGTATTCCTAAGAACATGTTAATCCTGCTCTTAACTATTGGCAATTCAACTTAATTTCCTAAATGAGTTGCTTATATTGTAATATTTTTTTTCAATATAACAAGTAAACCTTGCAGCCTTTCTTGAAACCTTGAGTTCAGACGTACAACAGATATATTAATAATTGATTAGTTTGTAGCTTGCTTTTTCTTGCATTTACTTGTCACATTTTGGTTATACATGTTAAATTTATTCTTAACCATTTTTTAGACATATATATACAGTTCGGAGCAATGGCTATGAAATTACCATCCACTGTTCTGACAAAGTTGGTTTCATCATATAATCATTTATGGAAACCCCCTCCAAAAAAACCTCCATACAATCATATTTGTAGAATAGGAGATCCGGTGTTAAGATATGAAGCCAAAGCTATTGATGTGGAAAAGATAAAATCAGAAGAAATTCAGAAGGTAAGGTATTTAAAGAGTAAATCATTTCCAGATTAGTTTACAATTATAATTTTTGTGGAGAATAGATTAAAGTAGAGAAATCACTTGCACACATTCTTTGAATGTCAAATTCAATGATGAGGAACCCACTTTGAGAATAATAATGATTGGAGATGGCTTGAATGGGTAATGAAGAAAAACTTTAATATAAGCTTAACATAACAGCAAATGTACAACATTTCAACAAGGTTTTGTCATCATCAGGTACACAAATAATGCATGCAAAATAAAAAACAATGACACACTTAATGTAAGTCGCCAGCATTACAACTGCTACCTTAACACCAACTATTTAAAGAAAATAGCAATAGTTATATGAAATAGTGCTATACACTGGTATAATTAATAGTGAATATGCACTCACGATTTCAGCTAAGTATAAGAAACAGTAGAGAGAATTGTCTGAGTAGGGAAGTCTACTATGATAATCATTTATTGTTGAAAGTTGGCTGAAATATAGTAGCAGAAATAAAAATAGAGACAGCAAACTCAAGTAATGATATGCAACAGCAAAATTAGAAATGTTTCATGTGGCAATTTTGAATTAATGCACTAAAGAATGTACAAGTTGTAGCTTCCAGCTAATGTTCAAGCTAAGGAAACACCAGATTTTTTTATGGTGGAAAGTGAAGGACTTGGAAAGGTTTACAGCACAACAAAATTAAGGAGGTCAAATTAAGTTTAATAGTACTCTTTCCGTTTTTTGCAAAATTCCTGTGCGATTCCACACTACAGTAGATAACACTTGCAATAATTTTACAATGGAGTCATAATAGGGATTTGTAGCTTGAGAAAATTGTCATTAGTAGATCTCCAGTCTTGTTTGCTTACTTTTTTGCAATCCTTGTTTGTAGATATTAAATTTTTAATTTTTAATTATCTTGTATATTGGATTTTTTAATATAAAGCAATGCCTATAGTAAGACACAACTCCCATTAAGCGTGTATAAAATTTTACCAGTAGAAAAGCACCTCTTATTAAATAAATCTAAAACTTTGCTTTAAGTAAAGGTTTGTGTCTTTTAAGGTAATTATTTACTGAGCTTTGTGCCTGAGGTTTCATGTAAACATGCATAGAGTACAAAAGTAGCCACTCAGAACAACATCACATCTATTACTTATTTGTTTATTTATGCCTGCTTTTTTATACCTATAAATTTATGACCAGTCGAAAGCTATACATTTTCTCTATGTAATTCTGTTAATCTTTTTAAGTTATTTACAAGAAAAAGCTCTTATATTGTTGGAGAGTTTGAAATATTATGATCAATGCTATTTTTCGAACAGAAATTAGGTTTTTTTTAGACCTAAGTACAGCATAGTTAGGAAGCCTGTTAAGTTACAGTAAATTTTTGTGGTATCAGTATAGTCATTTATAATTTTTTGATATTCAAAAATGCATATATAAAGTCTACAAAAATTTTTTTTTTCTACATTGACATGTGAATTTGGACAAGGCTTACAATGAGGGTTGGCAAGTATGACTCACAGGTACAAAAAAATAACATGAAATGTATGGTAACCCAAACCTCACTGTACCTTACAAAATATTGGAAACTATGTATTTATTGGTTGCTGTATAAGCGTGGTAAACTAGGAAACAGAATGTTCATAAGCACTTTCATACACTAAATCCCAACCACCCAAGTTTATTGGATCAGATACAACTTTATACAGGGCCGTATCATAAATATTTTCTCTCAATTTTATATAGTACCTTAGACAATTCTTGTACTGTACTGTGTAAACAAGCTAATAAAGCTTATCCTACTGTGCTTTCAGAGCCGGGATTTGAATAAACTGTAGGAAATGTCTGCTTATCGACCAGCATTAAAATACCTAACAAGTTTATTGGATTGGCTCAGTCTTTCTACAAAGCCATAGCATAAGCATTTTGTAGTACTTTAGACAATTCTCTTTGTAACCATTATACTGTCAACAAGATAATAAATCCTACCCCACTGTGTTTTCAGAGCAGGGAAAGTTCTGGGAATTGTGTCGCTAAAGCTTATTTGATACTGATGATGTCAAAGTACAGTAGCACCTAAAGAGGAACAGTGATTTATTGCTTTATATTCAGAAGGTTTCTACTTCAGCCACTAACAATAGAATAAACAGAGGAAATAGGTGTAAAAAGATTAGAAGAAATCCTCAGGAGAGTTACTTTGGAAATTTATTGTACATACTGAAAAGGACAGTACTATTCATTTTGTTTCTTCTAGTTTCTAAGCCATTTGTTAGCAATAAAATAACTACAGAAAATAAGCGTGAAAAGGTGAGAAATGTAAACTCTGACCATAAGTATTTTGAAATTTTGTGATCAATACTAACAATACTATACATTTTATTTTGCATTTGCAACCTGTATTTTCATTATACTTTAAATACTTACCTACAATCTGGAGAATCAAGTATAATGTTACAGTAAAGAAAATAAATAAAATATAAAGCTTTACTGAAAATAAAAATGTTTGATATTTAATTACACATTTTGTTTTCACTATTTATCATTATAAAAGTAACTAAAATGTAAAAAATAGAAACTTATTAGGAAAGATAATTAAAGAAAAATAATAAAAATCTTAATGGGGTATATGTGCCAGCAGCTTGTGCATTATGCTATTCAATAAGTTAACATGAGCTGCACATGCACTGTGCAATTTCCATCTTATGTCAGGGTATTTTTAATCAGATGCAGTTCAAAGGTCAATCAAACAAAAATTGATAAATATAAATAGATGTATACTGTTACGCGACTTAAGGTATTTAAAATAAACATTTGTGGTTTCCTATTACAATTTGCATTTATTCTAAACCAAAAAAATGGTAATTTAGATTTATTTCCCAATTTTTATGGTTACGAGGTTAGTCAAATCAACCAACATCATATAGAGCCAGCATTGATAAAATAACAGATTAAATGTAAAATTTTATTCAAAAAACAATTTGATGATTACTTAGAAGGATATAGAGATTACACTAATGAAACTTGACAGTTTTAAGATAAAGAAAAGTCTTTTCAATCTTATAATCAAAATTACTTTGCATGTTGGATAGTCATCATTCTGAAAGAAAAAATTCACAAGCAAATCTTTAATAAAATACGTCTTAATACTTAATTTAAAAACCTGATATTTTGTGTATGAAAGCCTTGTAATATTTACTAATCATCTGCAAAATTTTGTGAAGATGTGAATACATTAATAAAAAAAAATATAATTACTCTCATGAATACTTCTGTGGTTACAAACTGGGTGGATCCCATTTGGCCCGTATTGGTAGGGTTAAGTGAATAATGTTACATCATAGCATCTTTTAGTTTGTAGAAAGCTTTAGGCTTCAGTTGGGCAATGTGAGTGTCTGTATATATAAGCAACCAAGTGAGTGCAAGTTAAATGAAGTTAGTGAAAGTGAAAGAAAAAGTGAAGTTAGCCATTACAGGCGATTTCTAAAGTGACAGTTTCACAGTTTGTTTTGTAAAAACAGAGATAGAGAAGAATAGTAAGTCTTGTCAATTGTGTTCTTGTGTAATTGAACCAGCTTGTATGGACTTTTGACATAAAAAAGAATTGTTTAAAGCTCTGGATGCAACTATGGTAACCCACACGATAATGCAAGTGAATTTATCACTTATTTTATTATGATAATAGAGAAGAGAAGGAATAATTCATTTTGTCACTTGGGTTCTGAAGTTACTGAACCAGTCTGTGTGGATTTTTGGCAAAAAGGTGATTTTTTTATAGCTCTATATTCAACTGTGGTAAACAATAGTGTAATGAATTGTTTTATACATACGCTTGATTTATTTTGAATATATGTTATTTTAAAACAAGTGAATTGTGTGCTGTCTGTTTATTGTTGACATTTATCACCAACAACTCACAGACACCTACTCTAAAGAATCCAGCCCTATACAGAAAACCTGACACCTATATAGTGGAATAAATATTTAAAAATTTGTTTTGTAGGCAGTAGGGTGAACTGCATGTATAGTGATTGTGAATGATACTGTTGGGTCTGTGTGGACTATAACTATTAGGTTATAGTTACACACACCATCTGCCTGTTTCAAAAACGATATTAGTGTCATGTTGATCCAGGATTTCTGCTTGATAATTACATGAATTGATATAAATTTGTAATATTTATGTAAAAAGATATACAACTGAGAAAGTTGTTGGGGTGCATGTGGACATCCATCCATTGAACTGAACTATAAAAAAAAAATTAAAGCCAGTCTTTACTTAAATACTTAACAAGCCTTCACTGAAAGATCCTTAAATTTATTGCATTCTCTACCTTTAAAGGCAATCCATTCTAAGGACCGATCATCCTGCCATAAAAATCAAACTGCCCAACTGAAAATTTATGTCTGCTAGTCCTCACAGTCTCACCATTAAGTATGAATATAGATATTGCATTGACACTTTCAACCCCTTTAACAATGTTAAATGCCTCGGTTAGTTCCTCTCTTAACTCTTCCTTTTTCAATCACAACCTTTCTATTCCAACTGAACTCTTTCCAACAATTCAGTATTCCTCCTAAGGTAATAAACCCATGAATGAGCACAGTATTCCAGATATGGCCTAACCAATGACATTATCACCTCTTTAAACTTGTATTCACTATCAACATAGATACAACCTAAAATCGTATTTGCCATGCCACTAGCAACGGCATGTTGCTTGAATGATGCAAGAGACTGATCAACCTTAACACCAAGATCTTTTTTCTTAACAATGTTGAAATTATTCCCTTCAAAATTATACTTTTAATTCTAATTCAAATATTCTACATGCATTATCTTTCATTTATTTGTCCAACTCACCAAATAATCCAAATCCTTCTATAAAGCAGCAGCATCCTCCTCACAGCCAGCTTCACCCAAAACCTTCATATCATCTTTAAATTTAAAATATTTATTGACTATTCCTTAATCTGTGACATTGATGGAAATCAA